AGGGAGCGCCGCACGGTCGGAGGGTCAGTGCTGAGGGAGCGCCGCACAGTTGGAGGGGTTGTAATGATACTGGAACACATTTCAAGAGGAAGTCAGTGGCATGGTAGTACCGTCATAGGAACTGCAATACAGCGTCCCAGGCTAATGCTGTGGCAATCACTGGTTCAAATCCCATCGCAGCACTTTTACAACGCAACGAGTGTGTCTGGAGGATAGACCTATCGCTCAGAACATGGAATGTGGCTGAAAGAGACACATTGCAGAAATGTTTCAATTTGCACCCATCAGGACCTACACAAGAATGCCAAATTTCAGAGGGTCACAGCAATTGACACCACAGGAGGTGGTGGGAGGAGGGGGGTAGCAGGGAGAGGGTGCTGTTGGTGTCACACCTCACTGGGGTAGCATGCTGGAAATCAAGGCCTGCAACTCTGTGAGTTGTCATAAAAGTGAAAGGTTTTGTCAAAAGAATGGAAACTTCCACAATGAACGTGTTTTTTCAGACTCCGGTTGGCTTTCTTGCAAGAGGCGCAGAGCAGCCGGTCCACAAATTGGAAGGTTTATGACTCATTAGTTGGAAAGCACAGATTACTGGTGAGGGAAAAATAAACCGGGTCTCTTTAGCCTTATAAGTGCTTTTTTTTAAAACTGTGGAGAGGACAGCTTCCATTTTGGATGTCTAATAGCTTCTGGCCGTATGTATGTATCCACAAACTATACAGCTACCTGAGTGCCAAATAAAATTGTTGGCAGGCAGAAGACCTTTGCTGTTCTCAACTCCACAGGACAATTGGCTCCTTGACACCGGTCGAATCTTCCTTCGTGCACAGCCTCAGTCTACAGCTCGCTGAAATAAACTCCCCCCTACCCTGCTTGAACAAACAGCAGCATAAACAATGCTCACAATGAATATGTGTAGGTTGGTGCAGGGATTGAGTGTTGGTTTTCTCTTTGTGGAGGAGGTTTGTTGGGGGAGGGTACATTTATTTGAAAGCATGTGGTGGGGGGGTGGTGCGTTATGGAGGAGGGGTCGTGGGGGAGTGTTATTTGGGAGGTGACGGGGTGGTGGGAGTGTTATTGGGGAGACAGTGAAGGGTGGGTTATCTGGAGAAGGGGTGGTGGGTTTTTTTTGGGGGGTGCAGTGGGGCAATGGGTTATTTAGGGTATAGGTAGTGGGGGATATTGGGGGGCAAGAGGGTTATATTGGGCAAGGGGTTGGCAGGTGATTTGGAGGGGGTAATGGGGCTTTCTTGGGAATGGGGTGATCGGGGAAAGAGTGATTTGGGGCAGGAGCAGTGGGGCAATGGAGGAGAAGCAGCTTGATTTTCAGTGGGTGTTGTATTACTGGGGAGGGGCCTGATGGTGGTGGGTTTTGGTGACAGGGTGTCATTGGGTGGAGTGTTGGTGGGGGAGGGTTACTGCAGGGACCACGAAGGGTCCCTGTGTTATTGATGAGAGGACACTGCAAGGTCAGTTATTGAGGAGAAAACAGTGAAGGATAGAGGGTGGAGGAGAAGCAGGATCGTTTTGGGCTAGTATGCAAGAGGGCCGATAGAATTTTACATGGGAATGTGGTTTTGTTTCAAGGGGAGTGAACAGTGTAGTGGGTTATTAATGGGGATGGGACAGTGAAGTTGTTTCTTGGGGAAGGAGGCAGTGGGAGAATGTTTAGGGAAGGGGCAAAGCGAGTGTTTTTTTGGGTGCAAGGGGACTGCGGGGGTGGTTATTTTGGGGAAGGGGCAGTGGCCTGTGTGGGTTATTTGGGAATAAGGCAACAGGGGTGGGTGGATTATTTATAGAGGCCTTCAGTATGGAAACAGACCCTTTGGTCCAACCAGTCCATGTCGATGATGTTCCCAAACTAGACTAGTCTCACCTTCCCGCTCCTGGCCCATGTCCATACAAACCTTTCCCTATTCATGTACTTATCCAAATATCTTTAAATGTTGTAACTGTACTCACATCTACCACTTCTTGTGGAAGTTCATTCCACACACGAACCACCCTCATGATTTTATAAAGGTGACCCCTCAACCTCCTATGCTCCAGTTGAAAAAGTCCCAGCCTCTCCTTATAACGAAAACCCTCCATTCCTGGCAACATTCTGTTAAGTCTCTTCTGAACCCTCTCCAGTTTAATGCAATCCTTCCTACAACAGTGCTCCAGAAGAGGCCTCACCAACGTCCAGTACAACCTCAACATGACGCCCCAACTCCTATACTCAAAGGTCTGAGCAATGAAGGCAAGCGTGCTAAACGCCTGTAACTGAGCCCCCGCGAAGTCTCTCTCTGTTCTACAACACTACCCAAGGCCCTACTTTTAATTGTACAAGTCCTGCCCTTTAGTTAAACTCCATTTGCCACTCTTCTGGGGGGGTGGGGGTTATTTAGGGAAGGGGAAGAGGGACATGGGTTGTTTGGAGATGGAGGCAGCGGGGTTATTTGGGGGTG